GGGTGGAGAATGGATGTGCTGCTTCGGGATGTGGGCAACAGCCTAGAGAATGACAAAACGGTAAGATAGAAGGAGCCTGGTCTCTGGAAGGTCTTTTGAAATATCCTGTCTGGATCTCCCACTTAGGTGTGGACTATTACATAAGACAGAAGAAACTAAATTGTTTGAGCGCTGTAATTTGGGGTCTCTGCTACAGCAGCTCAGCTTATACCCTAATGCACCACGTCTCCATCAAAGACGGAAAGAGAAGAGCTAGACAAAGAACTTGTGTTGTGTTTTAAGAAAAACTGGACAGAACACATTTCTTTGGGGGCGAAGACTAGCTCTACACCTGGCCCACTCTCCACTGCCTTGGCCGGAGTCTGCAGCCCCTGAGCACAGACAGCGAGCACATGGGGATGGGCACCGACACACACCTGCAGGCTGGGGATGGTGAAGGCCACGTTCCGTGCGTGCAGGTAGGCCAGGACTCCGTGGGACAGGTCCGCCGTCCACAGGTGGGAGCTTCGGTCAGAGACAGATGGGAGAAGGTCAGGACAGCAGCTCCCTGTGCCGGGCAGTTCTCCTGCTCGCTGAGTGGCCAGGGGACGGGAGTCGGAGAGGATTGGGGGTGGGGGGCTGGGATGCTAGAAACTGTGCGTGCGGGGGAAGGGACACAGTGGGTGGGGTGGGGGGCGGGTTCCAATTTAGGAATCCGCCTGGATCCCATTCTCTCAAGGACAACTAGCAATCTCTGAGCTGTGTGCACTATTCCACTTCCCACAACAATCCACTTAAATCAGCTACAGTTCAAACAGATGAACTGAGAAAGGTCCTCACTAAATTAAGTTTAAAAATAGGCCCTAACCAACGGCATACTTCACAGATCTAGAACGAACTCTCCAAAAATTCATCTGGAATAAAAAAAGACCCCGAATAGCTGCAGCAATCCTGAGAAAGAAGAAAATAGGGGGGATCTCAATACCAGATATCAAGATGTATTACAAAGCCACTGTTCTCAAAACTGCCTGGTACTGGCACAAGAACAGGCATATAGATCAATGGAATAGAATAGAGAACCCAGAAATCGGCCAGAACCAATATGCTCAATTAATATTTGACAAAGGAGGAAAGAACATTCAATGGAGCCAAGATAGTCTCTTCAATAAGTGGTGTTGGGAAAATTGGACAGATATATGCAAGAAAATAAAACTAGACCACCAACTTACACCATACACAAAAATAAACTCAAAATGGATAAAGGACTTAAATGTACGACAGGAAACCATAAAAATTCTAGAAGAATCCAAAGGCAACAAAATCTCAGACATATGCCAAAGCAATTTCTTCACTGATACAGCTCCTAGGGCACTTGAAACTAAAGAGAAAATGAACAAATGGGACTACATCAAAATAAAAAGCTTCTGCACAGCAAAAGAAACGATCAACAAAACAATGAGAAAACCCACTGCGTGGGAAAACATATTTGCCAATGTCATATCTGATAAGGGCCTAATCTCCAAAATTTATAGGGAACTCATACAACTTAACAAAAGGAAGATAAACAATCCAATCAAAAAATGGGCAAAGGACCTAAATAGACACCTTTCAAAAGAGGACATTCAGAAAGCCAAGAGACATATGAAAACATGCTCAAAGTCACTAATCATCCGAGAGATGCAAATCAAAACACAATGAGGTACCATCTCACACCTGTCAGACTGGCTATCATCAACAAATCAACAAACGACAAGTGCTGGAGAGGATGTGGAGAAAAAGGAACACTCGTGCACTGCTGGTGGGAATGCAGACTGGTGCAGCCACTATGGAAGACAGTATGGAGGTTCCTAAAAAAACAAAACATGGAACTCCCATTTGACCCTTTGATCCCTCTTCTAGGAATATATCCCAAGAAACCAGAAACACCAATCAGAAAGGATATATGCACCCATATGTTCATAGCAGCACAATTCACCATAGCTAAGATCTGGAAACAGCCTAAGTGCCCATCAGTAGATGAATGGATTAGAAAACTGTGGTACATCTACACAATGGAATACTATGCTGCTGTAAAAAAGAAGGAACTCTTACCATTTGCAACGGCATGGATGGAACTGGAGAGCATTATGCTAAGTGAAATAAGCCAGTCAATGAAGGAAAAATACCACATGATCTCACACATTCATGGATAATAGAGACCATTATAAACTTTTGAACAATAATAGATACAGAGGCAGAGCTGCCTCAAACAGATTGTCAAACTGCAGCGGGAAGGCCGGGGAGGGTTGGGGGGCAGGAGGGAAGGGGATAAGAGATCAACCGAAGGACTTGTATGCATGCATATAAGCATAACCAATGGACATAAGACACTGGGGGGTAGGGGAGGCCAGGGGATTGTCAAGGGCGGGGGGAAAAAAGGACACATATGTAATACCCTTTGTAATACTTTAAGCAATAAAAAAATTAAAAGAAAAAAAAAGAAAAAATAAAAATAGGCCCTAACAGGTTTAGCTCACTGGATACAGTGTCGGCCTTCGGACTGAAGGTCCCAGATTCGATTCCAGTCAAGAGCACATGCCCAGGTTGCAGGCTTGATCCCCAGTAGGGGGCGTGCAGGAGACAGCCAATCAGTGATTCTCTCTCATCATTGATGTTTCTATCTCTCTCTCCCTCAACTTTCCTCTTTGAAATCAATAAAAATATATTTTTTAAAAATAATAATAAATAAAAGCAGGTGCTGTGTGCACCATGAGAGGCTGGAATAGCATTGTGAAGAGTGGGCTCAGAACCTGGATTTGAATGCTGGCTCAGTCACTCAGCTGTGCAGCCTTAAGCAGTTTACTGAATTGCCCTGTGCCTCAGTTTCCCTTTCTGTTATACAATTGTCAGGATTCAATTTGCTTACACAGGGGAAGTGCTTCACCCGGTGCCCAACACATAGAAAATGCACAGCTCCATTCACAACAGCCAAAAACTGGAACCAACTCAAACATCCAGCAATAGGCGGAAGGCCAGCAAGCATGGCGAGCGCTCAGCGGAGCACCACTCACCATTAAAAAGCTATGGCCAGGCGTCTGCTCCAGATAGTGGCGTGCCTGGCGGCGGTAAACCCTCCTGCTGTGAGCCACTAAAAGGCCTTTCATAAGCCCATTTTTGTTGTAAGTGATGAATGAATAACAAATTAATAAATAAACACTTTAGCCTGAAAAAATACCCATTGGAGTTATCTTAGGGAGAGGAGTGTTTATGCGGGTCTATCACGTTAGCATAATTGGGCGCCCTGTCATGAGGCCCCAAGGCCTCCATTTCTTCTCCCTCAGGGTACTCGTGGTGTTATAATTAGCTGCTAACATTTGTCCTTCCCCAAGACTCTCCAGGACCCTGCCTTGTGTCCCAGGTATCTCACACCGCCTTCGGCAGCACGGACGACACCACGGTGAAGGTCATGGTGTGGAGCTCCCCTCCTCCCCCACCCTGGCGGGCGGCGTGGCCTGACGCATCCTCCCTGGGCCCGGTGTCATCATCCTGTCTAATGGGACAGCAGCAGGGCCGCCCGGGGTGCAGTGAGGACCGACGTGTTTCTCTGCGTAAAGCACTGAGAATAGTCCCCCTACAGAGCGAGCACTCAGTAACCGTCAGTCCCTGTGCCAGAGCAGAGGAATAAGTCTGTGGAACACATGTGTCTACTTAAAAAAAACACTTGTGTCTGGTTGACATTGTTTGTAATGCGTATGTATTACTTTTACAACTAAGAGACTTTCATGAAGAGCTTTTACTGAAAATCTATCCCATTCCCCCCCCCCCCAGCCCAAGGGCAGGTTACCTTTGAAACTGTATGAGATCCAGGAACGCTAGAAGGGGAACAAAATGAAAGATGCTTAAAAACGAGTCGCTCCAGAGAGATCGGTCACATTCGGTGTGAGATTCTTAGAAGCAGCAAGTGGGGACATTACCATTCAGATAGTTCCCATCTATTATTTCTTCCTAAAAGGCAAAGGGACAGCAGCAGTTAAGCATAACATCCAAAACCGTAGAGGAGGCCTGGGTTAAAAAAAGAAAAAGGAATACTCACTGCCATTTTTTGCAGCAATGGATGCAAATCTGTAAGAAAACAATGAATGCATAACGAATTGAACTGTGCAAACTTCAAAGATACAAATGTGGGTTCAGATAAGAGTCCCCCTAAAAGCCGTGAAGGAAAATTATAGTGGGTTTTAATCAGCCTGCACCTGTATGTGCCCAGTGTGAGAAAACCCGGGTCTGAAAACCCCTTTTAGCATAACCGTGAAAACGCTACGTGTGCTCCTGCACGCACACCGGGACACACACACTCCGGAATGCCTCACAGCATCAAGTACCGAAGCTGGCCCATCCCCTCTCCATCCCCTCCCATGTGTGGGAACCATGGGAGTTCTCCTCCCTTGGGACTCACCCTGGCTGGAATTTGCACCGAGACTTGCCACGCCATGGCTCAGAAAAAGGAAAAGGACGGGAGCGTATGTCCTAGGTTCCTGAGACGCCATCCTGTGATTAATTCCAGCATAATTATCATATATAAATAATTCCAGTTTGATTTCTTAAACATATTAAAAAAGATTCAGAAGACAAAAGGGAAAGACAAACGGACCCAGAATCCTTTGAGGTTTTTTCAAAATAATTTTAAAATTCCATCTACTCTGCCCCATCTAAACCCCAATCCTAGTCTAAGATGCAAGCCTCTCTCTCCTATTTAAAGTCTTACCCTCTCTCCCATTCCTCTCAACCAAGCAAGAGGAGTGCTTAAAATCAAGGACTCTGTTATATCTAACAGAGAATGTATGTCCAGGATATAAAAAGAACTCTTGCAATTCAGTTAGAAGAAGGGGGGGGGGGGGGGGAGCGGAGGGAATGATAAACTTTATTTAAAAAATACAAATCGCCAATAAGCTCATTAAAGATGATCAACATCATTAGTTACCAGAACATGCAAATTTAACCCACAATGAGATACCACTACATACCCCCTATAATGGCTAAATATTTAAACACCTGATAATACCAAGTGTTGGTGGTAATGTAGAGCAAGAACTCTTACACATACGCTGCTGATACAGCCACTGTGGAAAACTGCTTGGCAATGTCTTAAAAGTTAAATATATAATACTCTATGATCCAGGAATCCAACCCCTAGGTATTTACTCACGAGAAATTAACACACATGTCCACACAAAGACTTGTACAGTTTCATTCATAAGAGCCAAAAATTAGAAACAACTCGCATGCCAACAACAGGTGAAGGCTTGAACAAATGTGGCATATCCACCCAATGGAACCCCACTCATCGATAAAAAGGAAGGAGTTGAGCTTTCGCTTCCAGATATGATGGGGTCATTGGCAGTAGATAAAACCTCATACTTTAAATAATTAGAAAACCAACCAAAATATATGAACAAATCTTTTTAGATATTGGACAACAGGTAACGCAAGGCCGAGATTCCTGAGAGAAGGGAAAGCGTGAGATAATAGGAAATACGTATTGTTCTCTGTCCCTGGCTCCTGCACAGAGCCCCCGAAATCTTTGTAATTTCCTGGGTGACAAGAGCACCGGGGCACCTTCTGTTCCATGAAGGCGACTCTAGGTGGCCCCTGGACGGCTTCCGGATGGGAGCTGATCTCCGGAAAGACTAAGCCATGATTAAAAGCTTGGAATGTTCAGGCCTACCCCATCCTCCAGCGAGAGGCTGGAATGGAAGTTAATAGTTGATCATGCCAAAATGAGGAAGATCCCAATAGTACATGGTTCAGACATCTTCCAAGCTGGCAAACATATCCTCACTGGGAGGGTGGCGCACCCTAACGCCACATGACAGAAGTTCTTGGACTCAGAACCCTCCCAAACCTCTCCCTGTGTAGCTCTTCACCGAGCTGCTCATCTGCATCCTTTATCGTGTCCTTCAATAAACTGGTGAATAAACATGAGTATTTCCCTGAGCTCTGCGAGCTGCTCCACCAAATTAATCACATAAGGAGGGGGTTGTGGGGACCTCCGATCTGTAAGCAAATCAGACAGAAGTTGTGTGACCCTGGGGACCCACCACTTGCGTTTGCTGCTGAGATGGGGTAGAAGAGGTTTGGTGGGACTGAGCCCTCAACCTGTGGGGTCTGACATTTTCTCCACATAGTGTCAGAATTTAGTTAAAGTGTAGGACACCCACCGGCATCACAGAATTGCCTAGTGTGGGGGGAAACCTCCACACATTCAGTGACCAGATGAAGTGTTCTGTGTGGAGCGGTGAAGGAGACACACGGCTCACAGGAAAGAACAAAGAAGGGGGTGGAGAACTGGGCTTCTCCCTACTTAGGAGGTTTTCTTTACACATAAACAGCCTGAGCTCTGTAAGTCCTCGAGCTCACTACCTGGGTCTCCACACCTCAGCACAAGGAGGGAGAATCCCAACAGAGCCCACAGGTCTCACTGAATTGAGACAGTTGGAGAGAAAAGACTTGCAGAGAGAGAAAGTTCTGGAGATTTGCCGAAGGGTCCCTCGAGTCTTTGGCTGAATATTTGTCTTTCTATACCTGTACATGTGAGAAACCACCTGAAACTATAGGAAAAAACATCAACCAGAAAGCAGAAGTCAAGCTCACACAGGGTGGAGAATAAGTGGAAAAATCTTCAAACATGTGGGGTATGAGAAAAAGGAAGCCTTGAAAGGACCAAACTGATTCCAATCACCTGGATTACATCCCTGAAAAAATCCAAACAGTATTTAAAGAAGTATCATAAAATCCAGTAACCAGCAGTGTAAACACCCAAAATGTCCAGCATCCAATCAAAAATTACCAGACAAAGAAGCAGGAAAATATGTATAATTACCAGAGAAAAAACCCAATCAGCAGAAACAGGTCCAAAAAGGACAGAATATCAAATTAGCAGACGAGGATGGCCATTATATATATACTCTGTAGGTTCAAGAAGGTAGAGAAAAGTATAAACATGTTAAGGAGAAACATGGAAGATACAAAAAACTCAAACGGAATTTCTACAGATGAAAATACAATCTCTGAGTGAAATATGCACTGGGAATGGTTAACAGCAGATTAGACATTGCAAAAGGAAAGACTAGTGAACTTGAAATCATAGTACTAGGAAATACCCAAACTAAAACACAGGTGACAAAAAGACCAAAAAAAAAATGTAAGAGAGCTCTGGGACACTATGAAACATCTAAAATGTATGTAATTAGAGTCCCAGGGAAAAAGAGGGTGGCAGAACAAATATTTAAAGAAACAATGGCCAAAATCTTATCAAGTTTCATAAAACTATAAACCCACAAATCCAAGAAGCTCAACAGACTCCAAGCAGAAGAAACAAAGAAAACCACACTAAGGCACATCATAATCAAACTGCCCAAAAAAACAATGGCACACACACACACACACAAAAAAAAACAGTCAATCTAGAATATATAAAGAACTCTCAAAACTGAACTGTAAAAAAGATAAATAAACAATCCAATTAGTCAATAGGCAAAACACATGAGCAGACATTTCACCAAAGAGGATATCCAAAAGACAAATAAGAACATGAAAAGATATTCAGCATCATTAGCCACTAGGGAAATAAATATTAAAACCATAAAATCATTATAGATCTACCAGATGGCAAAAAAATGTTTTAAAGTGATAATGCTAAATGCTGGAAAGGATGCAAAGAAACTGAATCCTCATACATTGCTGGTGAGAAAATAAAACGGTGCAGGTACTCTGGAAAATAGTTTATGCTTTTTATAAAACTAAGCATGCATTTAACATATAGCCCAGCAACGGCACTCTTGGGAATTTAACCCAGAGAAATGAAAATCTGTATTCACATAAAAGCCCATACACAAATGTTTATAGCAGCTTTATTCATTTTAGTAAAAAACAGATATCCTTCAATTGGTGAATGATTAAACAGACTGTGGAATGCCCATGCCATGCAATATTACAAACTATGGATATGCAGTAATTTGAATGGGCCTCATGGGAATTATGTTGAGTGAAAAAATAAAAGGCAGTCACAAAGGTTACACACTGTAAATTTGCAGGATAGAAAAAGATCAGCGTTTGCCACGGGGAAGGCAAGTGTGGCTATTAAGGCTGCACAAAGGAGTCTGTGGTCAGGGACCAGTCTGGATCTTGAATAGGGTAGTGGTTACATGAATCTACACATGTGACAAACTGTAAACACCATGTACAAATGCACATAAGAATCAGTGCATGTACAACTGGTGAATGCTGAGTAAGTTCTATGGATTAGACTATAGTATTATAGTTTATATTATAATACTATAGTATTATCCTATACTATACTATACTATACTATACTATACTATAATACTATAGTATTATAGTCTAATACTATATAGACTATAGTATTAGACTATAGTCACTATACCAATGTCAGTTTCCTGGTTTTGCTACTGTACCAGTTATGTAAGGTGTAACCATGGGGGAGTTTGGGGAAAGAGGACATGTGGGTCTTATCTTTTTTCCCCCTTTTGCAATTTTTTGTGAATCTATAATTATTTCAAAATAACACGTTTTTAAAGCGTCCAAAGAAAAATATCACATTATAAGCATAGGAAGAGGAATAAACTAATTTAAGTAAGAATATGGCCCTAACGGGTTTGGCTGGGTAGATAGAGCGTTGGCCTGCAGACTGAAGGGTCCCAGTTTTGATTCCAGTCAAGGGCATGTACCTTGGTTGCGGGCACATCCCCAGTAGGAGGTGTGCAGGAGGCAGCTGATCGATGTTTCTCTCT